ATTTTAAAATCAAATATAATTTTAATATCAAACTTTTTATGGATTTACACGAAAAAGAAATTTTATCTATTGATTTTAATTTTTAGTTCATTATTTTTATTTATTTAAATTCCCATTGATTTAAAATTGCTTTACTCTTTAGAAACGCGTTTTAAAAGCACAAACATAAACAAACCAAACACGGGGTTTCGGACAGCTTTGTGATCTTTGAGCTAGTAAAAAATAATTGAATGTGCAATATAAGTTGAAACAGGCGGTATTTAAACACGAAGTTGGCTGTGAATGCATATTTATTGCACATTAATTTTATAAATTAAAAAAAGCATTTTTTTTAATTTAATTTTTTTTTTAATTTTTTTTTTAGAAAGCTTACCGAAATTTTGAAAAAAGTAACGATTTCATTCCATATTTCCGTTACAAATACTTGTACTTTTTCCCTAAAAAAGTAACGAAAGTACAAGTAAAAGTACTAAATTTAAAAAGTAACGAAGTACAAGTAAAAGTATGTACTTTTTACTTGTACCGGCGGTACAAGTAACGAAAGTAAAAGTACTGCCATATATGCTGTTGAGCGAACCCTGTCTTACGTGATTACTTGTATTCTTCGATTATTGTTGTTACCTTTTTAATTGTCAATTAAAAAAAACCTTTTTTTTTTAACTTGATCTACTATTTCGTTAAAGTTATCTGAAAGTCATTTAATTATTTAATACAGTTTCTTTAACAAATGCGAATTTTTAAACGAATTTCAATGATAAATGATTTCTTGTGTGCGAATCATTGTTACATATATGTAAATGAATAAATAACTTATGTGATACATGTTGTAAATCAGTGTGAGATTTTTGAACATTACATTAAAAGGTGCTTTCATTATTCAGTGAGTTGAAGTAGAATAAAATCACAATTTATTTATTTAAAGCTAAAAATATTTAGAACAAAAATTCTATTTTTAAGGTATACCTACAATTGTTTCTAAATTCAGGAAGCTCATTTTAAAAAGAATAATTTTTTACTGTGAGTTCTAAATTTTTATTTTTAATACAATAATATTTATTAATAAGAATATCAGAATTGTTTTGTCTTATGCATTTGTCTAAATTTGAATATCCTTGTAAAATTTCATGTTTGATGTATATTAAATGTAAATAAATAAAAGAATAAAGCAGACTATGATCCTTTTTTTCCCTCTAAACATCTTTTTCAATATATTGAAGTATTAATATTCCAATAGTGTGGATTACAGTTTCGGAAGTTTTCAGTTTTTTTTTATAGTTTAGATATACTCATATGAATTCCTTATTTTAATGGTAGGCCAGCTTCTTTGTTCACTTTGCAATACAGATTTTAATGTATTTTGTGTGTTTTGTTTAAATTATTGCAGTTATTGTTACGAGTCCTTAAAGTGTAACGATTGCAATAAGTTTGTCATAAACAGTAGAGAGTAAATTGAAGTTGAACCTATATTGAAATATAAGGAAATGATTTGCATAAAACTGAAAGGGTGGCAAAAATGGAACTGGCTGTTCTGTAAAATAAAACCTTTAAATACATGTCTGAAAAATGTTATTGGTTCAGTGGCAATATTTAGGAGTCTATAATTTGAAATTTTGTATTTAAAAATTGATTGCATGATTCATTTGAAGAATTTTTGAAGCAAAAAGTTGAAATTTGGTTATTCTAAATAATTGAATTAAAAGCATGAAGTTCCCATCTTTTAATACTGTTGAAATTCAATATGAACTCCATTGCTTAAATGGTACCACATATCACAGTTCAATTTTTATCAGCCGCATGTGAGCGATGTAAAGTTTTGGTGCAAGAGTCATGATTTGGATATACAGGGCCAAAACTAGTCTAACATTTATCAGTTACAAATCACTAAAAATGATATTTGAAATATTTAATATAATACCAGCTCCCTAAATCATACCCACCAAAAAATGATAGCAAAAATTAATAAAAAATGGCAATAAATAATCTATGCTTAGTATTA